ATTTGGCCTTTGCTTTCAAGTTTCTGATCCACTTAGAATGGGTTTCATGCACGGTGTGGGACAGGGATCTGTTTCACCCTTTTTCCCCATAGGGATGATCTGGTGTCTCTGCACCATTCATGGAAAGTTAAGTCCTTTCTGTGACGATCGGTAGATGCCCCTTCCTCTCACGTCAATCCCTGTGGCTCTGAGGGTCTCCTCCCGCTCTCATCGCCCTGTACCTAATTACTTGTCACACCCTCGGTGCCTGACCTCTGACCTCTGCTAGAGATCCTCAGCAGTTACCGCACATGAGAAATTGGAACACGAATGAACATTCCCACATCTACTTCGGTGATCACACGGTGCTTCTCCCCTAATCTATTAACACGCTCGGTGACACTGGAGGATTTCTCCAATGTTAAATCACCCTTGTCTTTTCTGGAAGAAATCCAACGTGGCCAACATGCATTACCTATTTTCCACATGGCTGCATTTGGTTTGCTAATATTTTGCTTCAGATTTTTGCATCCATATTCATGAGTGACACTGGCCTGTAATTTTCCATTCTGTAAACTCTTCTGGTCTAATTTTGGAATCAAGGATCTCCTGGCTTGTTGATGGGTAAGCGTTTCTCTTCTGCTGTTCTCTGGAAACCCTAAGCTGATAAATATGTACTGATTAAAAAAACTGGTAGAACTTATTTCTTCTCAGTAGCCAATAGTGCTGTGTGTTTTAGAAGAAGGTTTAATGACTAAAAGGTCATTTAAACATTACATATTTTTCTTAAATCCATTTTGGTAAATTAAGCATTTCTAGAAGTTTGTCCATTTCAAGTATGTTTTCAAATATCCTGGCATAATGTGGTTTGCAGTTTTCAACTACCGTCTACAATAATGTTCTATCCGCTGGGTGGGAGGGTCCGGAACCGAGAGACTGTCTAGTCTGAGCTCCATGTCTAGAACGCAGAACTGCTGGCTCAGGAACATTTGGGGAACACACCGGTGAGCCTCAGTGTACGCTGCCCAACATGTGTTCTCCTGAGGACTCTTTCTTTCTTGATGAATCTGGTCATGGCTTCGTCGATTTTATTGGTCTCTTTTTAAGAACTAACTTCTGCCTTTACTGGGTAATTTGTTAGTCAATTTCCGCTCTTTTCTTCTTTATGTCTTGCCTCTTATTTCCTCTGAATTTGTTCTAAAGCTCTGTGTACATCAGCCTAAGTTGCAAACTTGGCATATTAATCTTCAGCCTTTTTTCTTTTTAGTACAAACATTTAAGGTTATAATTTCCCTGCATGTTTATTCATTATGCTAATTTTGGGATGCATTATTCTTATTTTCATTTACTCTCTAAGTGGTTTGCAGTTTCGATTATGACTTCTGTTAAGAACCATGCAGAAGTTAGAAGTGGATTCTCAATTTTAATTCAGCAAATGCCCTTTGTCCTGTAACCTCATTTAACTGTACTTCGTTCAGAGAACTGTGGTATACTGTGACTCTTCACAGATGAACTGGGACCTGCTTTACGGCTCGTACGTGGCTACATCTTTACACTCGGGTTATGTGAGCCCGAGGAGGAGGTATGCTCTCCAAATGTTACAGGGCTGTTTTCGCCCAGTAAACCCAGTGTGCGAAGCTCGAATCTTCTCTATTCTAGGCACTTCTTGCCGTCTGGTCTTTGCGTGCTTGGCAAGGGTGTGGTAAAGGGCTCCGCCAGGACAGCAGGCTCCTGCCTTTCTCCCTGGAGTCTCATGCCGTAAATACCCTAAAGGCGCTTATGCTCCACTGAGCTGCGCGGATGACGAGGCTTCTCCCGTGTTCCTGACAAGCCGTTTATTCTAAGTTGCGACCATCTCTCTCCCTGCGAACATCAGTACCATTACCCTGTTCTCTTTCAGATGCTTCTCTGATAATTACTTCCCATAATTTTGCTGTCAGCCTTTCAGGTTCTTATGGTTAGCTCTGTTTCTCGTAAACATCTCTGTACCGGGAATACGATTTTTCTCTTCACACTGGAAACATTTCATTCCCGAGGTTAATTTATGTTTATCTGGTTTTCTTGCTTTCTGTTTCTCTGACTTTCTTAAGCATTTCTCTTCTTGCATCCTGCTCTCTTTTCAAGGGTGCCAGAAGCGGGAGGCAGGGCTGCCCACCCTGTCCTAACCCACACGTCCTCTTAGCCCCTGGAGTTAGCAGGCCACCCCAAGGCAAACAAGTGCCTTAGCCAGCTGCTCGCTGCTCACCCGTCTGGACTCACAGTCTGCTGCTGCTTCCAGCCTCTGCTTTCCTCATTTACTCTATGGACAGATCGATTATGCTTTTAAACACTGCAAACAAAGTATTCAGCATTTTCAGGTGTCCTTTACAGCGCTGGTTTTCTCCCCCCAAACTACTCAGTCCACGGCGTTATTGGAAACATGGCCGTCTGTTCCACCTATTCTCCCCAGGCCTGACAGGTACGTGGCACACACAAAGGACTGCGATCATGTCGAAGAGAGAACAACTTGAACGCTTTTGTTTTGAACACTGCGCTATTTCGCAACAAACTTCGAGTGTGGTAGAAAAAATCTTTCTTTGTGGCTCTGTGATCTCACTCTTGGGAAAGGCAAAATATCTGGCAAGACAGAGAGCTGTTCCTGGATGAGCTATCCCTCACAACAGAGTTTCTATTTGTGAACGGGGGAGAACAGCGAAGGTTCGGTGCGTGATGGCTACAGGACGGACTGTTATGTAACCGGGGAGCTGGTGCGTGTCAGTGCCAGGTGGGTGACCCGGAAAGTGCTCGTAACGTAAAGCAGATGACGCGCAGGAAGTGAAGTCAGCATGCATCATTAAGAGGCAAGTAAGACACCAGGGCACTGCGGGCGCGGACTAGCGGTCAACTGGAAGCGACCGACCTCCTGGAAGTGAGGTTCAGAACCGGTAAAGGCCGGGCCGCACGAGCCATGTGCACACATTATTAAGGAAATGAGCTCTCTGGATGCGCATACCCATGCCTCCTGACAAACGAGAGAGGCAACGGCGACAGCGCTGGTCCTTGTCCGACTGTTCAGCAGTATGGCCAGCACTTCACTCCACCTGGTCTCGGGAATTCTGGCTCTGGGGGAGGAACCCTAACCCTGACTGTAAACCATGTGATCCTTGGGGGCAGTCAGAGGCCAGCAGCGGTGATACGAGGATTCCTCCTGTGCTTCGGCCTGTCCTGTGGAAGCCCCAGGGGACCACGGAAGGCAGCAAAGCTGCCCAGCGGCCAGCATCCCCGGACTCGAGCTGACCATGAATGCTGGGTTAGGAAGAAAAGGCCAGCACCGTCCAGGCAGGGAGTGGACTCATCACCGACACGGATGGCTGGCCGCTGTCCCTCCCTGGGAGGGAGAGCTGGACACTCACAGTGGCCTCTTCTGTTCCCACCCTCCCGCACGGCTCACAGCACTGTCAGACGTTTCCACACCCCTCTCCTCGAACGTTTCTCCTCCGGGCCGTGAGTGACTTGGAATAGAAGTTACTTGTGTCCACATTCATGGCATCGGCTCTGACAAATGCTTTTGCTTGAGTAAGTGAGGGGGTCTGGGCAGCAGGCAGCAGGCAGACTCGGTCCCGCAAGCGGACCCCTGCTCTGGAGGGCTTTTCCACAAAGCTGGGACAGGGCACCACAACTACAAGCTGGCAGAGGAGAAGAGCACGCTCGCCCTGCTCCTCTGCGCCTTGCTCTCTCTCTGCACACCACACGCACAGCTCACAGCCACCCATGCGCCCAGACCCAGGTGCCTGTCCCCGCCCTACCTTCAGATCAGACACGTCCCGGTAGCACTGCTCCGAGCGGGTGTGGTCGGAGAGCTGCACGTTCCAGAAGCAGGGGAGCTGGTACACCAGGAAGGGGTTCTGCTTGATGACAGCGTTGAAGATGTCCTGGGGACAAAAGCCAAGGGGCCCACCATGGGCTCAGCCTGCGCTCTGGCCGCTCCTGCCCTGGGTGTGCCCTGAGCATGGGCTCTGGGCACCCCACAGCTGCCGCCACGGGTGTACTCGCTCTCCAGGACCCTGGCCACCGTGTTGGCAGCGCCAGGGATGGAGACAGGCTGGCCCCAGGGAGCGCCAGGGATGGAGACAGGCTGGCCCCAGGGAGCGCCAGGGATGGAGACAGGCTGGCCCCAGGGAGCGCCAGGGATGGAGACAGGCTGTGCTGCTGGCTCACAAGGCGGCGTCCGGCGGGCCTTGCGGCATCTTTCCTTGCTGGCCCAGGGTAAACCGACTGTCCTTTTCTCCCCTTTCCGTCCCATCCAGGGGCCCCATTGTCCCTCCCACGCATCAGAGAGGAAACTGCAGTAACGAGAGGGACAGGGGCTGAGACTGATGACAGCCTCTCCCCGCCCCCTCCCCGGGGCCCCGCGGGCTGAGTGGCCGCGCACACTCCGGGCTGAGCAGCCCACTGCAGAACGGGCTCGGCCTCGGCTAGGGCCTCACCGGGCTGCTCTCCACCCAGCTGCGTGAGCCACACTGACCCGCTAGCTGGGGACAGGAGCTGAGCCATGGGCCTCCCCGGACACGGCCATACAAGTGCCAGCTTCGGGGACATCTGAGGTGCCTGTGACTGGACTTAAACTACAAGGACGGCAGACGATCCTCCCCTCGGGTTTCAGACTGCATCTGTGCGTTCTGTGTGTCTAACTCATTCCTGATACAGCATCTCCTTGTTCAGAAACCAGCTTCTGGCTGCTTAGAAAACACTGAATAAACACGCTTAAAAAAGAGTAGGAAGCCCTGCAGGGTTTGTGTCCTCCGCGTCAGAGAACTCGAACCACACAGCTGAATGTTAGACAGAAATGAGGGCGGTCAGCTGCTTCTTCGGTAAAAAGAAAGGGTGACATGCAGAGCACTTAGAGAAGCCATCTCCGTGTCTCCCGACGGCCACCAGGACCACAGCAGGAGAGAGCCTGGTGGGCGCCAGTCCCGCCAGAGCCCCTGCCCCTGCTACTCAAAGCGAGACACAGGTTGTTTTGTGAATGTTAGTGGTCTGCTGGTGTCGGTGGTCTGTTTTCAGACTGCCTGGATGAAAGGCTGTTTCCGGAGCCAGGCCTTCAGGGTCCCCAGGGCAGGACCTCAGAATCTGGCTTAGGGACACATTAGGCCCTGTTTGCCAG